AAGGAAGGAAGGAAGGAAGGAAGGAAGGAAGGAAGGAAGGAAGGAAGGAAGGAAGGAAGGAAGGAAGGAAAGAAGGAAAGAAGGAAAGAAGGAAAGAAGGAAAGAAGGAAAGAAGGAAAGAAGGAAAGAAGGAAAGAAGGAAGGAAGGAAGGTCTAGCAATAGGACAGTCTTATATATCGCTTTACAATGCTTTCCAGCCCTCTCTAAGCAGTTTACAAAGTCAGCCTCTTGGCCCCCCAACAATCTGGGTCCTCGGAAGGATGGAAGCCTGAGTCAACCTTGAGCCGGTCCAGATCGAACTCCTGACTGTGGGCAGAGTTTGGCCTGCAAAACTGCATTCTAACCACTGGAAAGGAAGAGAGAAAGGGAAGGGAAGGAAAGGAAAGGAAGAAGGAATTAGGAAGGAAAGAAGAAAAATAGCAATAGCACCTAGACTTACACTCCGCTTCACAGGGCTGAGCTGTGTAATCCTCGGAAGCTTTATTTTTACTACCAGAAACAGGGACAATCGTCCCTACCGGTTCAGCCAAACCGGGCTGAACCGAGAGGATTTTACCCTGATCTCCTATATTGCCTTGTCCCCCTCTCCCTTGCAGATGTCTTGGTGGTGCTGATGACGGATGTCCTCATCTTCCTACAAGAGAAGGACCAAAAGTATATTTTCCCCACCCTGGTAAGTGCCCTTTTATTTTTCAATCGCCTTTTCCTGTGGTGAGATACCCGAGTCTCAAACTCGGTGCCCCTTTGGCGTAGAATGCCCAGGTCTGTGGCTGTATTTAGAGTGTCAGGTTTCCAAAAGGTGCCCTAATTAATTCAGGAGCCTCCAGCCAAGTTTCAAAAGAAATCCAGTCATTTATTAGGAACACCATTTTGGCAATACCCCATTGCAGTCAGATCTAAAGCTCATTTGAATTAGGGCTGAACTTTGACCCTGTTCCTTCCTCCTCTCAGTCCGTAGTATGCGTGGAATGCGCTCCCCCCTTTCCTCACTATGGCAACTTTTTGGTTTGACATAGAGGCAGGTGGGCCCAGCAACAGATCTTGTCGGATCAGGGATTGTCTTTGCTAGCAAGCGTTGCAAACATTCTTAGCCTAATTGTGGTTGACCTGAAAGAAGCTAAGGAGAAGTCCGTTATTTTGGATGGAAGACCACCAGGAAATCCCAGGGCTCTAGACGACCTTGGAAAAGAATGACGGTTGCTGGGGAAATTACATGGCGGAAACCAAGGATGGCTTGAAGGGGGCCTTTGCCCAGGATCCAAGCAAAATGAAACAAGGGTCTGGGGGATGTTGTATTTCACTTTTGAACAAGGGTGATGAATGGATGCCACCCAGAGTGGTGGGTGTCCAATCCCTGGAGATTTTGAAGAAAAGTTTGGACAGCCATTTGTCCAGGATGATATAAGGCTGTGATGGCAAATCTATGGTACGCCTGCCACAGGCGGCACACGTCAGAGGCATATTTGTTGGCATGCCAGCCATCAGCACCGGCCAGCTGATTTTCACCCTTCCAGAAGGCCGGGGGAGGCCGTTTTTGCCCTCCCTGGCTTCAGGAAAGCCTCCGGAGGCTTGGGAGGGCAAAAAACAAGTTCAATGGGCTTTCTGGAGCCTCCGGAGTTTTTCCTGAAGCTGCGGAGTGCGAAAAACATCCCCAAAGAGCCGACCAGAAGTTCAGAAACGATCCGTTTCCGGCTTCCGGAGAGCCTCCGGGGGGGCTGGGGGAGGCCGTTTTCACACTCCCCAGGCTTCAGGGGGGTCGCTCGTGCATTTGCAGCTGGGCGGGGCAGATTGAATTGGTGTGGGCACACGCATGCTATTACACACCTGCACGCAATTTTGGCATGCTGTAAGAAAAAGGTTCGCCATCCCTGATGTAAGGTCTCCTGCCATGAGCAGAGGGTTGGACTAGAAGACCTCCAAGGTCCCTATGATCCTACCGGTCTATCGACACGTGGAGAGTCTGAAGGTGCTTCTTTCCTTTCAGGACAAGCCCGCGGTCATCTCCATCCGCAACCTGATTGTCCGCGATATTGCCAACCAGGAGAAGGGCATGTTCCTGATCAGCAACACTCCACCCGAGATGTACGAGGTCCACGCTGCATCGCGTGATGATCGCAACACCTGGATGAAGATCATCCAGCAGAGTGTCAAGCTGTGAGTGTGTGTCTGTGTGTGTGTGTTGGGGGGGGGCAGGGAATCTTGCTTGGCCAGGTCATCCCTTCCTCCCATCCTTCCATAGGACTCACAACTCACATTTCAGACGAGTGTCCAGTCGCTTCTTTAAAAAAATCTCATCCTTTTATGTCCCGATTGGTTAACCTGATGACCTTCCTGCTTGCCTCTCCTCTGCAGCTGTCCTGACAGGGCTGACTTCCCCTTCATTGAGACCGAGAGCGAAGCCTCTCTCAGGAAGCTGAAAGGTAAGCCATTCCCAGCTTCCCTGGGCAGACTTTGTTTTTCCCGCCTGCACCTTGCCCTGGCAGTTACCGTTGTGGCTCAGCAGCTGGCAGCAGAGTTGGCAGCAGATTCGGACAGTGAGGAGGCTGGGGAGGAACATGGGCCAGTCCTGGAGTCTGGGAAAGGCAGGCTCTGTGTCGGAGGCAGAGAGGGGGCCACAGTTATATATCAGTTATCAGCTGTCTTCAGAGTTAGAGATCAGTGAGGCAGAAGAACATCTGGAGCCTGTTCTCAATGTGCGCATGGACAGAGTGGCCAGACGAAGGGAACAGCTAAGGAACAACGGTCAACTTGGGAGGAAGGCCACAGGTGGACGATGAATGGCCCCTCCCAGAAGAAATAAAAGAGGAGCGACGGGGGAGTGGAGTTTGCAGGAGACAATTACTTCATTCCTGCATTCTTGCCAAGCATTGCGGCATCTGAAAGTTATCCGCCTGGCCACTCTCCGCGCCTGATAAAAGTCGGTAATTGGGAACTCTCTTGAAAGATGGTGGGAGAGGAAAGGCTTTGCTGGAGAGGAATTCACTGTCAATTAAATAAACGGGTTTGGACTCTGCTTCGTGCTGCTGGGGAAGCCTAGGTCAGAACAGTTACCTTCACTTCCTTCCTTCCCACAGATAAGATTCAGCAGTGCGACCAGGAGATCGGGGCGCTTCTCAGGGAGAAAACAGAACTCTTCGCGGACCTCGTGGCCCTTCAGAGCGGCAGGGAAGACAGCTCCTCGCCCTGGGGGAACCCCCGCGCTCTCTTCCGCACCGAGTCCTCGGACTCCGTGCATGGCGAGAAGCTGATCCAGGAAGCCATCAGGGAAGGTACCATTCTCCCCACGCCAGACCACTTCAAGGGGGAGGCCTTCGTTTTTGAAGAAATGGGGCTCTAGATCAAGATGGCTACAGAGACTTACTCACTTTTGTTGCCAGGGGTGTAGGCATTTATGGCTGTGTGTTGCATTATTTTGAGAGGAGATCACATTTACCCTGCTATACAAGCTGTATACTCAC